TGTTGAACTAAGTGGGGAGCTACAATCAATTAAGGCAGTGTTTAGTGTTTTATTTAACAAATTGCTTAATCAAACTTCTTCTAAGCTTGAATAATTAAAAGTTTTGTTTGACAAAGCTCATCCTGCATACAATTTTTACGTGTTAACATACATGCCCCATTTTTAATGCGGCCAATTTCCATAAAGACATTTACAGAAGTTACATGTTATGTTGTTCTATGTTCCTATACCCTGACCTTCAAGGGAAATTTCCAATATCAGTGTGATAGCTCCTGTGTGATAGGTTTTTTTTTTAGATTTTGTTTATGCTGATTGGGATCTGAGCCAATGAGCTATAACAATATAATAGTAGGCTAGAAGTCAATCAGATCACTATTACTTCAAACATAATTTTAAAAGATTTACTTTTTTATTATTTCTATAGCTCCATAGTTCATGGTGCTTCATAGAACAAATCAAAGACAGATTCCCTGCCCCCTAAGAGCTTACAGTCTAGGCAAGTACAAGAACAATAAGAGGAGATAACACAGGCAAGGGACAGAGGGGGTAGTAAATGAAGAGAAGGTCAGTTAGATTACAGTTACATGATAAGCTAGTGTGTTTGCCTTAGTGAATACAACTGGGAGTATGTGATGCTTCAGTAACTTCATTTTTATTTAAAACTTCTATAGGAGAGCCACGAGGAAACAATTTTGAAAATAAATTTGAAAGTGTTAGAGGTGCTTGTGGGAAGGCAGAGAAGTAAGCCTGGAAGAGAAAAGGTGACTTACGTATCTGAGGATGGAAAGCAATGATCTAGGATGTCAGATGAGTCAATCTCAGCAATCCATCCTTTTCCTTCATATATTTGACAATATGATAAAGAGCACAATTGCTCCTGCACACCTGAACACAAGCTGGCACTTTATTTTGCCCTTAATATATACATTTGACTGTATTTTCTGAAATAGTGAGCAAAATCAAAATTTCTCTACAACAGGAGTTTTGCCACTGCTTTCAAAGGAGCTAGCATTTTGATCATTATACTTTGAGGCCATTGATGTATTTGGAGACTCCATTCTATCTGGAGAATAAGTAGAGTCGTGTCTAAAGTACAAGAAGTATTTTCCTAATATCCCTAAGGGATTAATAATATGAAATTGATTTCATGGCATTACCTTTTATCTCTTTGTGTGACATTTTCTCTAATCATGTCCTCTTTTCCCTGAAAACATTTTGATTTTCTGTAATATGTAGTATATCCAGGCATTTCTCCTGCTTCAATTTGAGTGTTTGGGCTTTGATGTTTTCTTCATGAATTTTCTATTCTGAAATTTTAACTAGATAGTGTAATAGGGTAAAACAACTTTATTTTTGGATTTTTTTTGGAAGACTATGGTTGAAGATTAAAAAAAGCTATTGCACAGAGTCACAAGTAAAAGAAAACAAAACAAAACAAAACATAAAAGAGAAGATTATTTGAGACCTAGGGAACCTGCATTAGAAGAGGGGTTGAACTAGATGATTACCAGAGGCCCCTTCTAAGTCCTATGATTCCATGGTTCTGTGAATTCTTGAGCTGAAAATTGAGATGAAAATTTCAGAAAGTAGTATCTCACAAGAAACTATCACATACTCTTTAATATGTTTGAATTTGCATTTACGTAATAGAAGAATAATATGAAAGTGATCTCTTGGTGTCTAGATTGGGCCATAAATCCTCATCTATTATAAAGCATCACATTTCTGTTGATGGAATCTAACTATTTGGACCAGAATTTTTTTTACTACTCCTTCACAAATGATAATAACAAAAAAGCCAGAGAGTATTTTTTGCTGTTTGATTGTTGTCTTTTCTTCTATAATATCCACATAGTTATCTATCACTGTATAATCATGCGGAGGCATGAGAAATAATTAAAGATTATGAACATCTACCTTTCTTGAAGAAGATAAAGGAAAAAAATGTTCAACTTTTACTGCCATTTTTCAGCCACTGGGTACCACCATATAGTTGAGTAATAACTGCTTGAAAATTTTTCTTTTGAGAGACATTCAGGATCAGTCAGAGAAGCACCTATCATCCTGCCCTAATAAATCAACAAACTAATTGAGCAGATTTTGAACCTTCATAGGCCAGGTACTCACTTTATTTCAGATGGTGAGATTCCTTTGACTTTAATGACAATGTAGAAATTTATACTGTCTGAGCATTCAGAAGTTTTTCAAAATTGAGAAGGTTTCTTCAGAACAGACAATTTCTATAGCAGTGTGGCAAAATGAACCATTGAACTTTTTGGAATACAAAACTACTAGCAGTATTTCCTATTACTTTGGAGTTCAGTTGTTTTTAGTGTTATTTGCCTTAAATGTCTTAATTTTATTTAAAAGTACAGAAATAATTAGAACAGAATAATATTATGATTTTGTATTTTTGTAAATAATATTATTGTCCTGCTATGAATCTGTAGAGCCATGTATTTCTGGTCTGGATTTTAAATACAAATCTCTAGTTACTTTGTGTGTTTCCTTTAATAATGAAAGAATGAAATTCTCACTGAAACCCTAATTAAACCACACTACTTCTGTGTTAGGATTCTTGTACTTTTGGGGGATTTACAACCAATTAAATATTTAGGACATATTCTACAACTACACTTACTTTGGCTCACATAAAGGTTAATGTGAATTAGCCATGTGCATCAGGGGGAGAATGACACTTCTGTTTATTTCAACACTCTTAATTGAGAAAAGAAAGATTTGTCTGAATATAATACAGCATTTTATTTCATGATTTTACAAATTTTATTGTAAATCATCAAACAAATCCAATAGCCAATTTTTTTCCATTCCAAACCATCAGAAGTAGGAGTTTTCATTATGTTGTATGACAATTACTTTTTTCCCCTTTTTATTTTAAAGAATTAAATTAAAATTAAATATGCATTATGTAAGCATACTAATTTTCAGAATCTTTGCTGAAGGTGTTTTTATCTTGCTTTTACTTCAGACAAAGATGACTTGTTCTTTGTTATCACATACATGGGGATGAAACTCTCACAAACATCAGAGATTTTTCTTTCTCAGTCCCTATTCACAATGGAAATGGCCAGCTCAGTCTCTATGAAGATTTATGAGAACTGGGTAGTAGACACAAACCTCCCTCCTTTGCCCAAATATCATTACATAGTTTCTAAAGTTTGGATGATGTATCATATACTCTTGTCTTAGACAGATGATGATAAGGTTAAATTAAGCCTCAGTAAACAAGTGATCTCATAACTTACAAATGACAGGTTATTTATGATAATTCTATGGTCTTCTTTGTTTGTTTTAAATAGCCAAATGAAATATTTTCTATATAAAGGCCATCTTGACCATCTTTTTTTGTTGACATAACATTTCTATATAGCCATCCTATACATTTTTTTTTTTTGTTCAGATACAAATAAATTTACTGTATATGGTAGTAAAACTTTCGGCATCTGTAGGACAGTATTTCAAAATGTTATGTTCAGGAAGTCATAGGCAGGGCATAAAAATAAACGGTGTAGCAACTAAGAGCTAGATCCAGCAAAAACTTATCATGGTGTGCTCTAATGGCTTCTCTCAGAAATCCCAGCAAACACTGGCCACATGTTTAGTGGCAAGAATTAACAGGTTAGGGTACTAAAGCTGAGGCTGTCGTAAGTACCAGTACTAACACAAAGTACTGTACGTATTTTGCTCAAATCACGCAGCAAAAAAAGCAAAATAACTAAACCTGACATAACTTTAACAATCTTTTTTTTTTCCTCTTTTCACTTTTTTTTTCCTTTTTTTATTTTTTTATTTTTTTACTTTTTTTAATTTTGTGGATTGAAATAGCAAACTGAGTGTACTTTAACTGTTATCACAATGTGGTCAAGAGGTCTGTGTCTTTTACCATTTACACACAATTGTTTATGACAGCATGTTATCAGCCTAGTGGAAACAAGGGGTGTTGTATGGTAAGCAGTGGTGGTAGTGCACCTAGTTTTTATATTATCTAACTTGAAAATATGACTCTTCTAAGATTCCTTTTTCTTGATAAAAATAGTTTTCACCAAACGTTGGTGGTGCACACGCACTACCACTCATGCTTGGCATCACACCCCTGACAGAAACATATGCTCTTATTTTGTTGATAAAAAGTATTACAAAAATTTCCATACAAAAACTATTTTCATAGAAATCTTGCATTTCCACAAATAAACCTGAACATTTTTTTTTTTTTGAAAAAAAAAAAACTGCTCAAGAATTTTGTTCATTTAGTACTGTGACTGTATTGAAAAATGCAGTCCTCCTTAAAGTTCTCACATTCACTTCTTTTAGGTGACCCATTCTACTTCCAACATTAGTGAGAATTGCACAGGCTCCATTGAGTTCAATTAGTAGCAGGAACAAAGGCTTCAAAACCCATTCAGACTAAAATGCAAGCCTCTATGCATGAAATACATTGCTTTCCCACCCTTTCCCCTGTCCTTATTATTCCCCCCCTTCTCACAATTTAAGAAAAACAAAAGTAATTGCTTTTATCTAAAAGTTGTAAGATAGATTCCTTTGTACTCACAGACCTTTTATTCCTCTAAGAATTGGGTCAAAATTATGGATTATTCTTGTTTTTTATCAAAGTTCCAGCCCACATAAATTTAAGTTAATGTGGGGTTTTCTATTATTTAATTATTATTTATTTACTTAGTTCAGTGACACAGACAGTCCAAAAAGCAGGTGAGCATCTCCATGTATATTCTTCTATTCATGGATTCATATTTCTTTGCTGTAATATTTCTCCCATCCAGGAAGCTCATACCACCTGTCCTGATGGCAGTTACAGTCTACCAACAGTAACCAATACTTCTATGTTTGGAAGTTCAGAAGAACTTATGGTTTCTTGTTCCACTACAGTTCTGAGATATTACTTCTACTAGACTCCTTCTGTGGTTAGTAGCATTTCAGATATTTATTCTTCATCTCCTGGCAATGGTTGAACTTCAAAAGGAACCTGCAATTTCTCATTGAGACTGCATTTGAAACCAGCCACAAAACTCATATGGAACATTCATTCATTCATAATGGTGGAAACCCATGACGAACGGTGTAACCCTGCATAACTTGGTTGATCCATGATGCTTGTGATTTGAGTCTGGCCATTGCAACTGTTGAGATCACAGAGTCTCTAGTTCATAGACACAGCGGCATGAGGTAACTCATTTTATTTTGCACAGGTTGCATATTTCCACAGGAAACATTCTCGCAAGGTTGTTTGGAAAAAGGACGACAGTTTGTGCTTGGGGTGTTAGGCTTCCCAGCTCTACGCCATGGTTTCTTTACCCGGCAACCTTCTGTCGTTAAATGTGTGCATGTTGATAACTTCTTCTGTTTTCACAATAACAGGGGCCTGTGGCTTGTGTTTTAATCGACGCTGACACTTCAGAGACATCCTTAGCTCCTCTACCATGGCACTACAGAAGGACCTCTAGAGAGGGAAATAGAGGGGGGGCAGGGGGAAAGAAAAAAAAAAAAAATAAACACATCTGTAAGAAGTATCTAACTGCAGTGCCTAGAAGCAGATTCATTCCACTGGTACAGCCGTGTCAATCCTGTAAGTTTGCTTTGTCTCAGCCTGCAGCTCATAACAAATTAATGTCTTTTAAATATGCATCACATAATAATTAAAATGACTTATCAAGCTGTGATGACTCACTGAAAAAATTCACCTTGTCTCTACAATTATTTATCTTCCAGCTATTGACATGCATGCACATGATACATAAAAATATTTCAAACAGATGTTCCGTTAACATAGTTTAGCTTTACAGGATAACATCTGAATTTAATGCGTATATTAGGTATTCAGTAAAATTTCCCTTCCCATAATTCAACACAATGCATTTAATTTCTATATGGTTTAGTTAGCTGATCCTTAACAAAACAGTAAGCTATATAGTGGAAAATTTACCTAAATTAATATTTAACCTGTTAAAATGCAGACCTATTACTGAAAAAAAGGAATCTACTTCATTTTTTTTCTAAAAAAAACTTCTGCATTTAAACATTTCTTCCCCTACCAAATATTATTTTGTAGAATATATTTTTAAAAATCTCCATGTTTATGGAATCAGAAAAAATTATACGTTTTCTTCAATTAGACCCTCAAAGCTTTTCCTTTTTTCCCCACAGTGCAACACATTCGAAAAGCAACTTAAAATCTCTCTTATTACTCTGATTTGAATGAATTCCAAACTGCTAATAGTGTGCTGAGCTATTAGCTCATTCTTGGTCTTAGAACTGAAGCATGGAATAAACAGAGGGTGAAGAAGAGGTCTCAATTTTGGGATCTTTTTCACTTTTATCACATGCTCTAAGTGAAATGTCTACCAGTTAATGGATAAATGTATTAATGAAATAATATATCCTAGAGCCTGAGATAGCATGACAAGCTTCTGACAATACTTCTCATGCAAACTAATTGAGTTGGGAGACTAGGTCCAGAAAGCTTTTAAGGAACTATTCTACCTAATTCTTTGGAAGACTAATTTCAAACTGTGTTTTTCAAAATCCACATTCAGTTCCAGCCTCAAGTACTACTAAATTAGGAAGTGTGGCAGATATTGCAACTCTTAAACTGTGCAGCCGTTCATCAGCTGGAGTGTGTGAAATGAACACGAGACACATTTGAGACTATCAATTCAATACTGTTTTCTGCCAGAGGAGATTTAAACTCTAGTTTCTCAGCAGAGGACTGTAATATTAAAGGAATGAGAACATATCAGGGTAAAATTACTTCCAGTTTCCTCCTACTTATCCTATTCTGCTTTACATAAAAGCAGCGAATGGAGGCAGAGTGGGAGAAAGGGAGAGAGTGAGAGAACTAGTAGCTCTGTAGATTAGGCACTGGGGAACTCAGTGGGAAAAGAAATCCTTCAGGGATAGCTTCTGCTTCATCAGTATATTTAAGTAAAATTCTATATAATGAAGAAGAGTGAAAATGTGAGTTTAGTTCTGTTTTCAGTCATAGGATAGAACTTAACTTGAATCCCCCAAGTCCTGGACATACCCTCTTCTCAAATATTTTATATGAACAGGGGATATGCAGGAAGGAAGAAAAAGTGTAATATTCCCCTGCCTGGGGTGCTCTTCCTTTCAAACACTTTTTTTCTCCTGCTGAATATGAAATAAACTAATGACGCTTACTCAGTTTAGATAAAAAAGGGACCCCACAACTAAGGAAAATTTGAAGTTTGAAATCCAAGGAACAGGAAGGCCTATTTCTTTGGTGTAATCAGGCATAAGTTCTTTGGAGGCCAAACTTCAAGACAAAACTTCTGACTGCCTTCACAGAGTAAATTCTGCAGTGGACATTTATTAACTATCTCTTTTCAAATGTTCTATGCACTGTGTTGAGATAAAATATGAAACTTATGGTTTTCACCGTGTGAAGATGTTCGCTGAAATTTCCAAATGAATGCTCTCAGCCATAATGCACCAGATTGCATACGTTATTCTTGATTAACATTGCATAGAAAGCAGGAAACTATCTCCTTTCATTCAACTGTGCTTTGGAACAAAGTATTCAATCCTCTTAGAATTCATTTTCAAAAGATCGCTGTTGCTTAACATCAGAACTGCAGTTATGCTTATAGAACTGAAATTAGCCCTGAAATCAATACAAATTGCAATATTTAATTTAATATTTCCTACAGGCTCATAGGTGAAATTATTAAGGCATGCAGATCTTGGCATTTTCACTATGTGCAGAACTTAGCACATTATTCAGGAACTTCACAGGAATTTGTTTAGAAGCAAATGCTGCAGATCTCAGTGTTACATTACCAGTAGCCCTTATATTGCTCTCACCTCTGGAATTAAGGCCTAGCTGAAATATTGAAATCGTACACTGAAAAATGGTGCATTAGCACTTAAAACTTTCAAGATTTTATTCCTTGCTCTCTCTGCCAAGAGATCTTAAAAAGTGACAGAATAGAGTCAATGCTTTTCAAGATTCATCAATCCACCAAAATGGTTTTTACAGATATGCAAACACTTAGCAAAAGGTATCGATTTTTAGACACTATCAGTATGAACAGGATTACAATCAAAGACCAAGAGGAAAGAAGATGCATGTATTCAATGCCAGCATTCTGAAATAACCTGAAAATAACATCTGAACAAAACTGCCAAATGTATTCCTTGAGAATTTTATCTCAATTGGAAAACTCTTATAATGAACTCCATAAAATGAGAAATGTTGCCAAGATTTACTGTATTAGAAAGGCACTTAACAAAATTTTGTGATAGTTATTTTATCTAGGAAATTCTTGCACTGTGTTTTCATGTTATATAAACTAAGTTCATGTGAACTTAGCTGCATGCATTATATGAAATAAAAAAAAAAACCTAACTACTTCATTTAGTATCTTTTTTCAGGTATGCTGTGCATTATTTGAAAATAATCAAATGTCTAAAAAAGAATAAACAATATTGTCTCACAGACAGTATCATCTCTTTGGTAACTAAGTACTGAAAAAAGAATTTTTTTTTTTTTTTTCCCTTAAAATTTCACTCACTGAAATATTCATCCATTTTAAAACAGATGAGTTCAAGGTTATGAAAGGTTCATGATGTGGATTCTTTTTGTTGGGTTTTGTCAGAGAAATATGCCATACAGAAAAGTTTTCCTACATATTGGAAAATCATGTTCAAAAAAGTTTACAAATGATTACTTCACATTTGACCTTTTTTTTTTTTTTTATATATAAATTCTTTCCTTGTCTCTTTTTTATTCCAGTCAGAGTACATTCTCAGTTTTCTGTACAGTTAAATTTTGTGTTCTTGCACAAGGAACAAGTTGGAATACATCTTTTGGAAGAACACAATGTGAAATAGAGAAGCAGCTATGTAATACTTTCTCTGACAAGTAAAAGACATTTTCAGGCTTTATTTTAGAAAAGATAATCCATTGTCTCAATGTTGATATCATCAGATTGTTGGGAAAAAGAGTGAAATGTTTTCAGAACTTGGACATTATATTTCAGATCTTGTTGTACACCACGAAAATGAGCTCCTTTAACAGGTATTACAAGATTCACTTCATAATTCAATTAAAATAACCTTTTGCCCTGACTTTGCTTCCACACTGCAGGCAAATTACAAGAACATCAGTTATTATCGATTTTTCCCCCAACACTTACAAAATCATAAGTTGTCTTCCTGAATGGTACCAAAAAGTAAACGTTGCCTCCAAGTCACGCTAGATATAATCAAATAGCAGGGGAATTGGAGGAAGGCATACAGATTGCTGAACACTAGCACCATTAAGTGCAACTATTCTGTTGCAGCAAGCAAGCACTATAAAACATTAGAAAAAATGCCTGTAGTTCTAAGAAAAGACTTCAAGTGCACAAAAGAAAATTTTAACCAGAGCTGTAGTTTTTAGCCTTTTAATACAAAGCAATTCTTAAAACAAAAACAAAACAAAAACAAAAAACAACCCTCTTCACTGTAAGTGTGAAGAATACAGATACCTCTTTCATCTTTCATTCTTTGCCACAGCTGACAGCTCACAAATCGTGAAGAATCAAGATAACCATTTAGCAGAATGTTATCATTGTTTACAAACTATTTAATAGCTTTTGCATGGGGCTACAGCCTGAAAAAATGTTTCTTTGCATGCATGTATTAATATGAAAATTAGGCAATATTTAACTTTTTTCCTTATATTGCTTTATAAGAATTTAGAAAGGTAATTAGAAAACATATTAGCATTTGTTATACACAGAATTATGAAACTGTCACTATAAGTTTTGTTTTTAATTTCCTAAAAAGAGAAACAAAAATATAATGGCAAGCTAAAATCACTTTCAGCATTCTGAGTAAAGTGAATAATATTCTATCTGTTTTAAATATAAATGTCACAAGTGTTTGCATAGATTTTTCCCTCTTTAATGGATTTAATATAAAGTTGACTGTCAATATTTAGCACAAAACTATAAGATTTATGTTTAATTTCATTATTACTTCAAGTCTTGCATGTCAGATATTATTTGAAATCTTGTTAAATTCTCTTAAAGCAGTAGCAGCAGTAATCCTGCATATTCTTGCTATATGTCAGTGTTCTAGCACTTAACAGGATATATCAATCAAAATTTTTTCATATTCATGAGGTTAGCTGAGACTCAATGCACAGCTCTGCCCTGCCCTTCCATTGTAATCATTTTTTTCCTTCCAAATGCCAGATATTTTGAATGCATTCATGAAAAATCTGTCTCAAACCCCTGGAAAGAAATAGAAATCCTAGCAAGATGTTTACATAAGATCGCAAACAGATGAGAAACTAAAGGAATGAAAATAAACTTGGAAAAAGAGATTACCTTGCCAAAATAAATTAAAGTGTGCTTATAAAGCTTAGATTTTTAGGGTTCTTAGTTATGTATCTAGTCTTAAACCAAAGAGTGTACACACACATATGTACATACA